TAACTAAAGGTCAATCGCAAGCATTGAGAAACTATTATGAAATACGAATCAACATCGGTACTTCTAATATACATATATGGGTTAAGGTGGAGTCATCCTAAACAGAGATGAGTGCATTGGTAAGGTGATGTCCTTACACTCGAGCACTGGCTGACAAGGTGCTTTGAACCAGGCCGTAAAAACTAGCACCCTACAGTTTGAGGGACAGTTTTAAATTTGTACAAAAGCATGGCAGCCTTAGTGCTTCCGATAAATTCGTGGTCTCGTTTGATGTCTCATCACTCTTCACAAGCATCCCTTCGGAAGAAACGGCAGATGTCATATATGAATATTTCGAACTTCTGTCTTTACCGATCCACGTATTTCAACAGCTGCTGTTCCTGTGTTCCAAAAACATACAATTTTAATTTAACAATATGTTTTTCCACTGAATCTATGCAGTAACAATGGGTGACTGTTCGGGTCTAACTCTGGCCTATAGATTTACGGGAAACCTAGAACAGAGGGAGCTCAAGCACGTAATTGTTGGAACTACACTCAACGGTAAATATATTGATGACACGTTTCTCGTCTGTCGCAATCCTAAGCACTCAATGAACATACACAATCTGCCTAACAAAACACACGAGGTTAAAGATTCTAACATGGAACACGAAGTATGAGGTATATTCCACTTCTAAGTTTTCGGACTCAGACGAACATCAAACGTAACATTAAAAGACACATTCACAGCGAAAATACATGGAGTGGGTTTATTTCAATTACAACAGTTTCTGTCCAATGAGTTACAAAAGGGTATTATACTAACCCTTTTTAACCGCGCACGCAAAATTTGCTAAAAGGTATGCCTAGAAGATGAAATTGCTCTCACTGCAAATTACCTACGTGAAAGTGTATATCCGAAGAAGTTTATCCAGAAATATGCCAAACCCGACCCTCGGGCTAAATACGATACGGTTGAAAAGAAAACCCACTTCTTACACTTGTGCTTTAAAGGCGATTAAGTCTCAAGGACAACTGATCACAGGAAACATTTCACATTGTAAGAGACTAATACGCCAGTAAAACTGACGACGCTATGGAGAACAATCCGCTGGCTCACAATTGACAGGTCATTTTTCTCAGTAGCTCCGACTGCATCTACAAATCTTCATGTACGTGCCAAAGTACAAACGTTGCAAAAAACCGTGAAAAGATTATATGTTCGCATTACAAGCATGTTCCGAAGAAATTAAGACTGCGAGCGACAAGGCCTCTCAACAATGCAATAGCTCGGCATTCATGTGAAACTAGGCATACCACTAACGTTCCTCAAGCTTTCAAACTGCTAGCAGACAAAAAGATACTACTTCTCTTCGCTTTGCTGAAGCAATCACAATAAAAATCTCAGACCAGAAACAGATGCTGGAATTCCGAACGGATGGATGCTCCAGTTTCACAGGACAATCTACAACATGTAGACTGGGAGCTTCATCCTCAAGTTAGCGTGGTTGCTCATTGGGATATTTACTGTGAACGACTTTTTGTGCTACAGAGCAGTCTGTTGCACCTAAAGCCCGAAAATATACAAACAACCTACGGTCATCAAAAATCACACTTTCTTCTTCGAAATGGTAATAACACCGCATACGGGCAATTTATTAAATGTAAGGGTCATGTACATAAAGGCAACAGAAGACAAGTTTCAGTACCAGATATAGCTTATCGAAAAATCAGTGACTGATGCGATAATTCGAGTGCCTAAATAACGCTGTTGCTTCAAAATATTAATTAATTAATCGATCGGTTATGAAGACAGTGCGAGAAGATCGAATTGTAGGGTTAAGAGGAGAAACGTGGACGATAATAAGTGAATTAGGAAGTAGTTACTGACATTCAGTGATGATAAGAGTAGGTAAATTGTGGGATGTGCACCATGCACAGCTGAACCAAACGGAAGATGACAAACCATGGTTGATTAGGTGTTTATCGAGTCTCCTTTCAGAGAAATTTACTAAGGGGACGGTGGTCTCCGACTGGAAGAGCATTCAAATTGAGGACAACTCTTGATCAGAAAAAGTGGGAGTTTATCTAATTTTTTCTCTTTTATATGCGACTATTTGGGGGTTAGCTTGAAGCGCGTAGTAGTTATTTTCTGGTGGAGTGGTTGTGTTGTGGTGAATTGACGTACTTATTATGTTGTATGTCATATCATCTTTTGTTCTGTTGTAGATCAGTGAGAATAATTTCAAGTGTTAGAGTATCTCGTTGTCGAAATTATGTTTCAGACTTATCGTCCACTTGGTTATCTATGTACTTAGTGTAGATGATTAATATCCCTTCTGTAGACGGTTGGTGCAACGACATTTTGGACTTCAGGGTGGGGTCATGCGTGCGTCTCAAAGTGTTAGGATCAAATATGAGGTGGTTGTGTCATGTTATCTACGCATGAAGTGGAGAGTCGCGTTTGATGTTGCTGCGTCGCCTATATAGTTTGAACTGTTGTCTAAGCTCTTCGTGGTTAAAAGTCCAAGGTCACGCCCCTGGGAGATAGTCTGCAGAAGATTACCATAGAGGGTGTGGGTGATTTGTGTCGTATGAGACAGGACGTTTATGACATGACAGTTCGACCTGTTAAGTTCCAATCAAGTGTCTAAATCCGCATTTAACATTTAACACTAAAAATATCATAGTCCGTATTGTCACACGTAACATAATTGATGAAATTGATGAAACTATTTACCAACTTGGTCATTGAACTTACTGGTAATTATCATCGACTAGTGTTGTTTTCTCGTGCTTATGTTTATCTATAATAGATGATTTCATTGTGTTTCTCAATCAATTGCTCATTTAGTAAACATCATAAACCATTGTCAGTATAATGGAGGTTTCGCGACATAACCATTCATGCAGATCATCGGTCTATGCAGTCAAGCAAATCTCCTGAGAACTTAAAATATCGCTGTCGAATATACCCAATCACGAATAGAGGTTCAATCCCAACATATACATGAGTTGGGAGTTGTAATCTCCTCGGTTATCACGTGTGCTGTTGCTGATAATCACATAAGCAGCACTCCCTGTTTATCACCTTGTAAAAATTGATATAGCCGAAAGCATCGTACAGTAACAAATCACCTACATTTGTGGCACATAAGCTCAGTTGATTTCAACACCTCATAATCACTCAAATCCATGCAAATCTATTTTTATACGGTCTCAAACTTGATACTTGCAACTGATGTATATGTACCTTCAACTGACATGCATGAATTTCAAATGTCGATATGTTGCACATTAGAACATTGAGTCTAGAGCATATCTCTTGCGAATGCACTTATGTTCAACGAACTACCACCAGTTTTATGTCCGAAATTCACATAATTAACATTATTTTTACGTATAAAGTGTACGGCTGATAACAGTTCACACTAGTTGTATTACTAAATACAATAACAAGGTCGATAATATCTTCCTGTATCTAAATAAACTGTATTAAACTTAGCAGAACAACTGGAATATTAGTTAGAATTCTTCATTTCTGCGGTCATACCGTTGTTTTCTTAGCTGACCTGCTAATGGGAAAAATGAAGCTGAAAATCAACTCATATGGACAGCCTGCCAACATCAAAGTTAACTGATTTTCTAAATTAAAGCAAAGGTAATACCGCGATCAAAATTTCTTTTTCTATGCACGAAATACCTATTCTGCCCTAAAGCTAAGCTATTAACCAGCGGTTACAGCTATTCATCTTACTATGACTTAGTAAAGTATTTATATACTAAATCTTTCCTCATCATTGAAATGACACATTGTCTCACCCTTAAATAATATTCGTGTAGATTTCCATTTTGTGCGTGTTCAGGATTAATTCAAACATTTTGGAGTTATCACACGTACTTTCCGATCAGATGATGCCGCTTTCTTTTTGATTTTTGTTTCAATTTATTAACACCTGGAACATCCTCATTATTCTTTTGTTGACCCCTGGCGCGCAACAATCCCAATCGACTTGTGATCGAAACAACGTAATGTTGATTCTGGTAGGAAAGCGATATAATGTTGCTTATTCCCAACCACACGATCCTCAAAGCTGAACATACTATCACACTAAATATTCACATTCAACATGTAACACTTAGAGAGGATCAAAAATGATGAACGCAATAAAATTGGTCGAAATATCATGGCGTAGCCTTGCAGATGTGATGATTCTGTGTAACTCATGCCTTTCTAGATAAAATACATTATTTTATCCCCAGCCAAATATATTCTTCAAAAGTACCAAATATCATATCGATGATTGTCATTGTAGGACGACTTAATATACACCGTGATGTGACATCCATGTAACGTGGTCACATAATAGCAAATCCATGGTTTTAAGATCATGTCTACCATTATAATAACAAAGATAAATCTACTAATACCAACGTATGCCATAATTCTACAGACAGACGACCAGAAGAAGAAAATCAGTTGTGATATCAGCATATTTTGACATGACGATAGGTTTTATTTTGCACACTCAGGAATATAGATGAACAGAGTAACTCCCAGCCAATATCGTTGTGGTGAGCTAGTGTAGACCAATTGATTTCTCCGTGCTAGCTCATCTATGGCAATATTTGAGAACGAGTTCAGCGACATTAAAAAATGTTCAGTGGTCTACCGAAAGAACCTTTATTATAAATTTTTCCGTTTGAGACTGTTATTTATGAGCTACTTCATCCAACACCACATGATGAGAGCTTTCCATTAATTATAGTCGCCCATCAATGTAAGATGTTCCATTATATTCCTGAGTATGTAGAAGAAAATCACTTGTTCCGAGCTCCAAGAAGTGGTGATTTAGGGATGGAATCCTTTAACTTTGAACGATTAGTTGGCTCAACGTACTTTGTGGTTTGAAGTGTTTTGTTTTAATTTATTTTCCTGCTAGGTCATAATTTAGGATTGCACTTTCACACGGTTTTAAATACCATAACCTTTAAGTGCAATACATTTGTCCTGGAAAATGCAGTGTAAATTATGTGAGTTAACTTGTGTAGAAGTTATCTGGTTTCTATAAAAAGTTGTTGAAATTGCCAACACTTTCGAAATAACGAGACCTGACTGTTTATGGGAATAAGTGTTAGCATTCGGTGATGCACAGCCCTTGAGTTTACAGTCATATTTCCGATTATGAATAACTGTCTTTTGCCTGTAGTAACAGTCAACTACATACATCATCGGGGAGAGGTGTTTCTTTGTCGGTGATTCTTAGATGCACTGTTGTGTGATATCAATATTTCTTATAAGTAACCTACCGCACTCTAATTCATCTTATATAATATTTGTTTGTTGTTTCATGCATTCATTTATCTGGTTTAAATATCTAGTTTGCATCGAACTCTTGTCATCTACCTGCTATATGCTATAGTCGTGCGATTTTTAGATTACAACTAACCAGTCCTTTGCATGGGGACATGATGGCCGCTGGTTCCAACAACCCCTCTACATCAAAGTAAGTGCGATTGCTTACATCCAAAGTCTACCAGTACTCAAGTAACTGTTGGATTCACCAAGAGTAATGCAGTCGAGTGTCTAGATCCTTCGTTGGTTGTCACTAAAGATCTTAATCTGTACCTCCACATACAAACGCCATCATGAAGGGGCAACTGACTTACTCCAGCTTTTTACAGATACGCTAGACATCAAATATCCATACTTGCCATTTTTGTTAGTCGGTGTGAAATAGGAATATGTCATAAATCCCTTCCACATACTCTATACTTAGAGGAGTTTATGCCGAATCTTACTTGTAAGTTATCAGAGTTTACTTATTTCAACTAGAGCTGTAACAGAAAAAATTAAATCTATTCCCAAAAGTCTCCGTTTTGAGTGTTTAATGCGAAGCTTTTGCAAATAAGGTTATTTTATACGTAACATTATCGAGATACAGGACCCTAAAATGATGTGCAATATCTTTTAGCTCGAGTTAGTTGAACAACTGAACAACTGTGTTACTGTAAGGTGTCTGCATTTACTTCTATTCGTTCAGTTGGATTCTATTAGTAGTTGGTTGTTGGTATATTTTTAAAAGATGAATGTTTCAGGATAAGAAAATATCTGGAAGCAGCTACAACTATGTTATCAAGTCATTTTGTCCTCCACACTCTGCTCACAGTATGGGTGAGGGAAATGAGGAAAAGAGTTGAAGATATAGGATAGTCTGAATTAAAATATTAATGAAAATGTAAATAATAAAATAAAAGAAGGAAAAGTGGCATTAGCGTAGGGACGAGAAAACCTGTGGCGATAATATCATGTAGTCCTATTCACTTATTCGTTATTCTAGTTGAAGAAGTGTAGTCTATGTATATGCACGTAATTGTGTAACTTTCTTGAAGCAATGCGCCAAGAGTTATGTGATTACTTTAGCCGGGGAGCGTGGCGTTCCAAAGAGCACAGGTTTGAAACATGAAAACTCATGCCGTCAACTAGCTTGTTTATAACTTATTTAGTGTATGTTTCATCTTATATTTGTTCACATCTGATAGACCTCTGTTTATCTCGGTAAGACCCCTGCAGCTGACAATATGATTACCTCTGGGATATCTAGCATCCATGACAATACAGACGATTCATAGACAAAATTGTGAAAATGAAATACCTATTCAACAAGCTCAGTATTCTTAACTCTCTCAGGTTTGAATTGGAAGTTTAATTAGCCGTGTGTGACAACCATCATGTGAAGAAGGTCAACAGATTGGATGAATAAACGTTGTTTTCATTTTGTAGTTCACTGTGCCCTCCAAATTAACGTGACTAGTCGAAACATCATGCTAAAATATATTCTGATATCAATTGATTGGCTTCTTCCTGCGGTATACCTCCTCAGATCTTATGCGTAGCTTTGACTAAGTTCACTTAGGAGTTAGTTAGCGGTAATTTACCTATATTTAAAGACATACGACTGTTTTATTGATGCCAAAAAATATTTATCACACATATGAAATGATAATTTGTTAAGGAATAAATAAGAGAAGGATAGTACAATCGATAAATCAGTGGACAAGAATAATATATGGTAAGCAATACACTTCAGCAATTAATAAGGCCAAGGAAAACTCACTTTAATATGAGCAAATTATTTCGACAAAAGCTACACCAGGATCCATATCGCCTTCTAGATTGAGTCACACAACTATCCATGTAACAGATTTACCAAATACTTCGGTTGGTTTACTACAGAGTCGGCGTAAAAACAGCATCCTGGCATTCTTGCAGGAGCATTTTGTATTTAGTATGTGTGAAAAGCATATTATTCCCATGGACACTAATTATTAAATGAATGAGAAGGATTTCAATAACCTGGCTTTCATCTTACAGTAAAGTAATATCATCCGCGTGCTTAAGATAAAAATGTCTCCATATAGGGATCCAAAAGTATCATTGAACTTTGGATTATGTGGTCTCTTAGGAGTTTTAAGAGGTTTTCGGGAATAAATTGTTTCTAAGCAGGTTGCGCTGTAAAACGACAAGCGATTTGACTCACCATTTCCACACTATCATCGGTAACAAAAATCATTTATGGTCAAATTCTTTGATAATAACCCCGGACGAGTTATCTGAATCGCCTAAAATCAAAAACAACGAAAAAAGAATATTATTGAAATGATGATTTTCGGTACGTTTGAGCGTCTAATCCTATATATTGTTTACAGACATTTTTCACTTGAAATGTGACGGTAAAGCTTCCTACTTTAATTGAGACATCACTCATTGCTGACGTTCTATGAATCAAGGTAATCCACAAAGTTCAATGTTAATTAGCAAAATGTTGAATAACTTTTTTGGATTCATAGTTTTAAGAGAATCCAAATTATGGTTATACTAACTATAGTTAGAATAGTATACTTTTGGCTAATGTTTTTATTTAGTTACCAAGTGAAAATCGTTTAAGGACTGGGGGTAAAAAGTTGCACATATTTTCCCATATTTAACAAAACTTAGTGATATTGGAGAAATTAAACGTTTTATGTTTGCTCAAAACTCATTTTATTTTTCGATGAACACAGTAACAAGGCCCTGGGCGTATTCATAATGTTGGCTGATAGGGTTCTGTCCACCGAAATTTTGTATGAGGACAATTTGCTTTCCTGATAAATAACATTTAAGGCATTCCTTTATATTTAACTATAACGATCAATGAGAGCTATTTCTACATACGAACTGCTTACTCAACAAATCTGATTTACCATAAATCATTTGCCATCAAACTTTGAGACATGCTTTACGTGTTTCAACGATTGATACCATCCGATCGGTGAGACTCAAGTACGTAGATGTGAGTTCGAACCTGCAAGTCGACGGCTGAGAAATAATTCCATTGGACCACAACTCTTATCTAGGAGTAGTTGGGCCATTTTCAATGTGAATTTATTTTTCAAATGTTTATAATATGGCTGTCATTAATGAGGGTTTATATAGTTTATCAAAATCCTTATGCTCTTACAGCGGTTGTAGTTTATTATGATTTTTCAACATCAATATCTGATGAAGTGCCTGGAAAATTACTGCATGTACAGATTACTTGGCCTTCAATTTATCACATTTTAAGCAACTAATAGTAAATGAATAATCTTCTTTCACACTTTCCTATGTACACATAAGAATAAAATTGCAAATAATGCTTGTTTAAAGCTAAACATGTGAGAGTGATTTGAAAAATGCAATCTGACAACAGAATACTGTAGCTACAGTTCAACTGTATCGACGCTTTTCAATGAAGTTTGTCTACTGATATTTGATCGCAGTCTGTAAACAGAACATATTCGTAGTTATGAATTCGCAACTCTTTGAGTGTGATACTTATGGAAATTTGAAAATATATCGTAGTAAGTTTTATGAACCACACTAAGATGCGTTTATGATTGGACATGTAGCTTAGCAACAATAGTAATATAATAATTGCTTTTTTAAATACTATATGTTTGGTAAAGTGTTTAATTCGCCATCGCAAGGAAGCTCTAAAGACTATAAGTGGTGGTTCAATCAAACTGTGTACACCACCTCAGTCTTAATAGTACATGTTTGTTGGGCCAAGGTTTGACTAATTGAGCGGCAATAGTCTGCAGAAAACTGCCGTTTTATTTATGCGATAAATTTTGTCTTCTACTTTTCATCTCTTTGGGTTATTTTTAGTAAACGATCGCAGAGGAGTTCTAATTTAATTCAAATTGATTTTATTATGGCGATATTCTTAGATGATCTTTACTGAATTACTTCCTCCAACAGTGTTTCTTTTAAATCTATGATGAATTTTTACTAACCAAGCGTATTTTCCCTGGGCCCTCATATATGTAGGAAATAAAAAATTCTATCCTATTTCAACAATCTTGTATTCCGTGATAAACTATTCTCGAATTTATGGAGAAAGCAAATGATTAGTTATGAGTATATTGTTCCATAACTTCTTTAGGTGTAATATCACGAAACCGTTATTTAAACTCTTATTATAATTTGTTATTGAATTTTAGGTGTTCAATCAGATTATCCTCATCACTACTACAAAGTACACAAACCAAACGTTTCAGAACCATATGTATCTCCACATGTAAACAGACAGTCAATCATAATTGATTCCAAGGTTGGTCTTTGTCCACAACATGGAATATTAATAAATCAAATATGATTTTTTGAGCAATATTTTTTGTGTCTGGACATGATTGATGTCTGATATGATCTCCCTGTAATTAATCAAGTATAGGTTTATTTGCTTTACCTTGAGTCACTCCGTCTGAGTGCTAGTGGCACTCATCACCTGCTTCGTTGGTCATATTATTGGTCACATTAGTGTTTAATGTTGTTGAGAAAAGCAGCGGTTCCTTCTGCTGATTTTAAGAGGTAGTCAAGTACCTTGCATTTCATTCGTAGGAGCAGAAGTAGTGTATCGTTCATGTCTCCAAATGAACAAATTCAAAATAAATAGATAACACTCTGAGTTATAGGTCACTTACTGAAAGTCAGAGATCACTGTTGGTCTAGATATTTACTGGTCAAAACCAAACTATTAGTTGTCATTTTCTTTGTTTAACTAGACTTATGAACAGTTAACCTGTGGTCAGTGCCGCAACATTGTTCAGTAGCCACCAGTGTGCTAAAGTTAAACTCTACCACAACATTGTTAGTGTCCTCACTTCAGTACTGTTATACAGTTGTAATTCAAATGTATTATGACAACCGGATTCACTCCATTATCATTCGAAATTGCAAGAAGTATCTGTAAGTCACAAGCAACAATATATAGAAACTTATCTTCGTATTTTTTACAACGACAATTTCGATACTTTACTAAGGATAGCTTTGGAATAAGACAGAAATTTATGACTCTTTTAGTTCAAGAACTCCACGCCTACTTCAATCACAAGGTGGAATGTTGCAAGCGATATACTTCATACTTGTGGTTCACAAGATATTTACAGTTAATGGCGCGACCTTGGGTAGCACGGTTAAAAGTCAATAATGGCCAACGAAATGTTATCACGGATTTAAAAATTTACTCAACCTTTGTTAGTCTGTGCCGTCAATGTTGTAATCATAATATCTGTCTACATATGGAAGAGTGAGTATAGTGTACAACAGCTCAATATGTTTTACTTCATATCAGTAGATTGTGACATTTGAGGCCTAAGTGTTCACTTGGAGTTTTGGGACTTAATCACAGCGTTCTCTATGTATTGTGAATAATATCAATCATGGTTGAGGGTAGGGTGTTAGATTGGAAAATTCTGTTGGTTAGTCAACCTGTAAACCCTCAATGATCTAAGTCGTTAGAATTCATCTTAAGCATACCCGACCATCACCGACCCTGAATCACTTTTCTACCTGGGATAATAGTAGAATAGAAATATTCAGGGTAAAAACGAGGATAACAACAGTTCATAGAGTCATTTGCCATTGGATTGATAGGTGTTGAAAGGAACAAACTTTCTAGGTAATCACCGTGAGATAATCGTAGCCATTGATTAGGGACTCTACCGTTGACATTATTGTATCTAATTTCTTCTGCTTGGTTTCTTTCTGTATCAATAGGAAGAATGGAGACAGGGTCTTATAGATATCTTTTCCAAGTCCTGCGTTGTTTATGATTCCCTGCGTAATAACTGTTTAGGATTCAGTGCAGAATTTCTGCGAACTTCCGGACAGGTTCCTCTGGAAATTTATTTGGCAAATTTGAATTGGTGACGACGACATGGTAGTTATGGTTTTACACTGAGGAACAGCCTAATAATATAAATTTATTGGCAGACGGTTTTATGCATTTCCATTTCTTTCATTAAAAGTGGGATCTTGTTTGTTTTTAAGAAACAATAGACATTCGTAAATGGGATTATTCGTTTTGATACATAAATAGAAATATAAAAATTTAAACAATTGAACTAGCAATTTCTGGACAAATTATTTTCGTCAAACATTTGTTATGCTTACTAAAATGCGATAAAATATCATTTTCTAAGTGTAGGGCTATGAAAATTATCTATCCGCTAACTTGTTTTGTAGGGAGGTAGATTCATTCATTCAACACAACTTTTAAGCTAGTAGGATGGTATGAGTCCTATTCCAGTGATGGAGGGCAAACAAATAAAGTTCATGTGCAAATTTTATTTGATTCATGGCTATACCATTGATATACTGGTTGGGCTTTCCTACTGTAACTAGCCTATCGAGCTGTATTGGTTGAAATACTTGTTATTCGACGTTTTAAAAGTTTTATTTTCACATCCTTCTTGTCTGAATCGTCTCATTATATCGTCTGTAATTGCGATTCTGGGTTATATTGAATCAAATTTCCAATAGGATATAAGATTTATTGAGTTTTCGAGTGTCCCTATTGGTAACTTTTAAGCCGAAACTCTCGGTTGATTGTAAATAAAGCTACCACCTTCGCTTTTACATGATCAATGCACATTGATGATCTAACTGCTTTTGATTTAATGAATCAAAAAATAAGTGGTGGAAATTTCCTTACATCAAAAAGAATTAATGAGTGTTCGATCTATTATTTTCTAGACAGGGGCTCGTAAATCCCCTTTCACAACTCGGCTTACTCTAAAGTTTTCTGACGTACGCACTATGAAGAATTTGTTTGAAAAAGGTTTGGAGACTTCACGTAAGTTTTTTTTATTGGAAACGAGGTTTATTAACAATCTACCAAAACCTCAATATTTTCAAAATATTTTGTTTGTTTTATATGCAATCAATATTTATGATCTCTTTTATTTTCTTCAGTTGTCTTATACGAAAACAAACTGTTCATAAACGTTTCCTGAACAGCTAAGTGAGAAGACTAGAAACGACTGAAAAGCTGTTATTGGGAAACAAAAACAAGTGTATACAAATCTGTGGTATATATATCTCCTAGACCTAGACAATAACATATAAGCTTAGACCTTGAAAATGTATATTATAGGCTCCACCCAATAGCATGCCTTATCTGTCACCTAGCTTTTGGCATAAAGGTGGCATTTGAACACAGGCATGTGATTTGTGAGAATTCACCCAGTCTATCACTTTACCTTCCTGAAAAATAAGCCCCCCTTTTCGAATTCAGTTGCCTGAGTTGATGTGCACGTATGTCGAATTCCCATCTCACAAATGTATCTTTTCGCCATACTCCCAATCTAGAGTATGTGAAACATTGTCAAACAGATATTTTTCTGGTTTCAATAACAACTTCACATGATCTGCATTAGAAAACATTTTGTTACCCAAATATTTAGCCTAGTAAATTAAATGTAGTATTTAACTGCTAGCAAGTAATTGGTAGAAGCAGTAGGCCCATTGTGAAAGCTTGCTATGATTTTTCAATTCGATAATTTTTCACTTGAAATGTGATACAAAATGATTTATCGGAAATGTAATATTGTTTCATATACCTTGATGCTGCTGGACACTTGTTGATCATTTTTGCTGAACAATGAATGAGGTTTCCCCTTGTGATATGTAGTTAGATTTCGTCGTCAATATCTTTTTTTATTTGTTGCGCTTAGCACTCCAGTTTTTATATACGTCTGATTTCATTCCTCCATTATTTTAAATAGGCTTTCAACCCTGTTTGGGACGACGTTCTAGTCCAAATGAAAAATATACTTGGTTAACGTATATAGAAGTAAGATATACTAACAAAGCTAATATTTTGTCGGCATAGGTAGATGACAAAATACAGGCATTTGGATCAGCTTTAGTGAAAGTTGCTTCTCACATTCCATGGAGTGATAATTGTGTTGGTATTTTTGGTCGGAATTCACCCGAGGCAAGTTGATATTTTTCACTTTTTACACTTACGTGTATATATGTCTACATAATTCAATGACGAGTATTTAAATAAGGTTTTGAAGTAGAGTGTTTGCTGAGTCTCCTATAGTAGATCAAACGCTTAATTTAACCACTGATATTTATTAATTGCGACATGGCGTGGCATATTTTCACACAACCCAGCTTTGAGTACGCACCTGTTGAGTAACGGGTTGATCGACACTGGTAACACACCACACATTTCAGAAAACTTTTAATAACTAATTCTCTATTCACAACATATCAAAGACATTCTCTTCATGGTTACATCTTAGGTAGGTACCTTGGAATGTTTCATTACTCTTCTCAATTCACAAAGTAAATGGAAGAATTATGTTTGTTTTAATTTCATGCAGAATTTTTGTAGTATTTCGAGTTATATGTCTATGAGCAGTTGAAGTTATTATCTACAAATATGACCTTATTGGTAACACTGGATTCTAAGTAAGCCATCACAATAGTTTAAAGACAATATTTTTCTAGTTATTCTATTAATTCATATTAAGACAAATATAAATCTGTTATAACTATAAGCCTTTTCATAACGTGTTAATAGTAAATATTATATTTATTTCACCTGTTAAATTGTTCCAACTTCAGTCATTTATTCCGGCACCAATCGTAAGTTTTTTGGAATGACTGTTTATCAAAAACCTTCCAATAAAATATACTTTATTTAGTATTTAGTTTGAATTTTATTTTATTTTTACAGTGGTTTATTGCGCAGCATGCCTGTGCAGCTTATGGGTTCCCAATAGTTCCTATCTATGCAACTTTAGGTGATGAAGCCATGCAACATATCCTTAAGCTAAGTAAGACATCTGTCAGCTATTTTATATTACTTTTATTCTCTCTACTAATCGGATATACTAACATCCTTTTGGGAGTATCAAAAACTATTTCAAAATACGAAAATTATTATCGTTAATGAATTGTGTTTAAAATATCACAATATCAAGAACACAATCCCATTATTTCATTCACCTACTTAATGTATACGCCTGTATGAAATTAAATATCTTTTTTATTGAAATAGGTAATAAGTTTAGTATTCGCCTTAGTTCTTACATATCAAAAATATGTGAGTTGTAAACTTTTAGTTCGTATTTATACCGTTCCGAACTGTATAATTTGTATGTAAATAATACTTGTGAATTACATTAGTCAGTTGAATTCGACTACTAAACAAACGATTATGTCGACTATCAAACGGGGACCACTTGATCTACAACATGAAAATTGCGCTGGGAGTATTTTAGATTGACTTTCAGACAACTCGGTTTTTATTCATGAAGTGCATTTTTAACTTCTATTTATCAATTGAGCAACTTGGATAAGAGCCTCAGAAGTGATATTACGATTTTTGAAATCACGGACAATTATCCCTAGTGTTCGCAATAAGCTGGCTTTTAACTTTATTAATAAAATTTTTAGCATGAGATTTTTGACATTTGTGTTGTATACGTACGCAGTTTTAAAATATATCCTTGTTATATTGCTTCTCATCGTTAACCAAAGAGCACGTTGAAGATAATCGCGTTCATTCTTGGTAATCACTTTTGGACTTCGATGTGTCAACTTTCTGCAAAATATCATTAACAAACTACGTTTTGTAATGTATTTTTTATAAATCAATGGAATAGAACGAGCTCTGAAAAATTCTTTTATTTCTTTGAGGCACACCAGCCTGCACATTGATCCTTAAGAAATTTACGAAGTTTGGATAAGAAACAAGAGATCTGTTAGTTGGAGTTTGCTAATGAGTTGAAATCAGATGCATCTGGTAACTTTCAAAAGCTATTTCAACTCAGCCGAGCCACTGGCAGCAAGGGATCTGACGTCAGTGAAATAATCTGTCAAATTGATGACACACCATTTAGTAGTCTTTAAAAGTGCTTCGAGCACTGTATGGGGGACTCCGAAGGACAGTTCAGTTAGTTTGTTGCTACAGAAGTGTCGGTCGAACTGTCCTGTGCTCCTGACCTAATGGCCGCCGGTCTGATGACATACTGTCATGTCTTTTTATGAATGTTAACGAATTTCTGGTCAGAGAACTGATTAAGTTGTTTTGAAGATTTCGAGGAATTGATTGCTCCATCAGCTTTGGATTAAGCGATCGTCATATCTATTTTTTAAAAGGAGACCTAAGTATGTTATGCTACGAATATAAGCCGGTAACTCTACTTCAGACTGCTACCGATTTACCAGCTTCCCTCATACTCTGCAGATTGTGGTAAGCTCACGAAGGAATGAATTGCGAGAATCAAGCTAGTTTTCTTTGTGGTCATAGACCCATTGACGTCTTCACCATCGAATAAGCGACGTCACATTTATTCCAGTTCAATTATCGTTACTTTTGATTTGTTTGACACGATTGTACTTTAAGACTCTTCAAGTACGATGTGAATGAGAAATTCATTTACACACTCAAGGCTATGTACGAGAACACTTCAGCCAGAGTGTGAACAATAACCATCTGTCTCCATTTTTCCAGTACGATATTGGGTGGAATGGTTGCCCAATCTCAACATGGGGTGAAGTCTTACATTTCTCTTCTTAACTTGGGTCAGAAATCAATTGTTTCTAGGATTAATGTCATATCTCGGTTTTAGTACTATGAAGATATATTGAACGTACTTGTATCTCATTCTTTATTGCTTATCGGTATGAGATTTTAACTCAACGTATTTTCCAGTGTTGTTACTTGAAATAGAGATGTTTTTGTTGATTAAAATATTCCGTTACTAATAAATATTAATCTCAACATTCGTTTTTTACTCATTTTTCTTATGAATTCATTACAGCTGAACTACGTGTTGTTGTGTGTGACTCGGGTGAAGAAATATGCCGTGTCTTAGAACAATCATTGTCCTTCATCAATTTAGTAGTTGTAGTAAACGATGGTCCTAAAGTCGCAGAAGCCAAGGTTCGGTTTTCATCAAATGTGAAAATCTATTTATTTGATGAATTTTTAGTAAGTGTTTCTATGACTTTCTATCATATGAACATTTCATCACAGAAAAAACTTGACTTTATGCTATGAATTTCAACTGACCAATACCATGATATTTCGCATAGATTTGGTGAAAAAAAACCAATAAAATTTCTGGAAAGCACTTGTTAGATTGAAATTTATCTCGATAAAACCTGTCGCTAAGTTTTGCATAATTGTAAGTGCTCTTAGACTCCTTTATTTATTCCTTCCTAAAGATTGGCTCAAATAAGCTGATGAATGTAGGTAATCGATTTAAATTGCTATTTGAATACAATTTTTCATAACTAGATCTCCAATAAATATTGATACATTTATCATTATAACTCTAATCTTAAAGTTTGATTTATCTGTAATGGTTACCCTCTAACATAATTTTCATTGATGAAAATTTATTCTCTAAATTCAATCTCCTTTTTGTGTTTATAACTACATTCATTTTAAATGAATGTGCTATTGAATTCTTCCGTTGGTTTTTGGTAACATTTTTACTTTTTATTTATCCAGAGGGTAATGTTCTCTATGTTATGTTGTTTTATATTCTGTATTTTATCTTCAAGTTCAAATTGTAACTAGTATCTTTACCTGTTTTCTTCCGGAAAAACCCCCAGCTTTTTCGCTTGCCTGAAAACTGAAATACGGTCCCAAAATTTGTCGAATACTCTGCTTTCCAAACTTCACCAAATTATTGAACACTATTTAAAATAGAATAAACATGTAATATATATCGCTTCTGTATTTATTTATATATATATCACAATTTTGGTTTGTAAGCAGCTGACGAGAAACCTCGAAGTAATATGAATTCATACTATTCTGCATCAATGTTTGTTCTTGCTCTATTTAAATTCATAAAGGGAACCAATTGCATGAAATTTATATACTTCATCGGGTTAGTGAACACACAAAAACATCAAGCGCATTAGAAACTCTTGGATTGAACGCTGACATCAACGAAACCTTACGGAGGATCACAAAACTATTTCACCCTGGTTCAAAACTTTTTCGACAGTGCACACTCACGTTCCCACGATAAGAATTTCATAGATTTTACTGTATATTTAGGCCATAGAGTTCAAATGCCATAGACATTCTCCATTTCAGTCATTTTAAGACATCTCGGCCATCATCTGATGCTACCATTAAGTTACTACGTTATTTCCGAAAGGAGTAAACTATTTATTCAATGATTTTTAAAACCTTAGTGTTACTTAGTCACAGTTGATCTTCATAATTTATGTGTAAACATGTTGTTTTAAACCTGGTTATTAGTGTTCTTTGCTTTAAATAGAACAATTTTCCCGACAATGTATTAAGAAGTTGCTTATTAAGACAGTTTAAAAAATATCTAACAACCAACATTCGACTTTGAACTTCTCCCTTATTGGCAGTATAAACTTGATGCTTATATGTAGTATCAGTTAAGTCAGCAAATACTTCAATTTGAATTGAGAACAGAAAATAGGATCATCTCATTTCTTGCAACAATTTATAAAGAAGCTATTGTAATAAATTTGGTTCATAAAACTTGATTATTTCAATTCTTGTTTATTTTGCATATCAGGAGTAATATAAATTTACTAAACGGAATAATAAAATTTTGATATTGGTTATGTTGGGAAAATAATAACACGTTTAGTTTATCAAATATTATTATTGAGGTCAAATTTAGTAGTGTTAAATGCTTATCGTCCGTCTATTAAGTTCAACAATATGACCACTACTCCAGATCTCTACATTTCCAGCATTGATATTAATGCGCAAAAATGTTGTTAGCATAACTACCTGTCCAAATCGTTGCATAACCTATTTTATTTAACACATAAGTGATACTCAATTTCTGAGAAAGGTAAGATAAGCATGATAATTTGCATTTGTTATACCACCTGTTTTTTCTTTATCTTTCAGGCTATTGGAATTAAATATCATATTCCAAAAACTGTAAGTTTCAGGTTTTCTCGGTTTTTCCTGAAACCCTGCATTTTGTGTATCATCATTATATGAAAGTAAATTACTTAATTTTGACGAATTTGAAAATTTAATAAAATCAAAATCTCTTGTTGGGTGAGTAGAAGTTTGAGGTCTGTAAAGAGGTTCTTCTCGATTGTCGAAAATTCCCGGTTATGCTGCTTTTTCAGTCTATGAAGAGTCGGAGATGAGAACTTGCAATTTTACTTTGTCTACTACCTTCCTTTATTAGAGTTCAGTTAGGTTGTTCCTAAAACTACTTGTTGCATAAATCGAAATTAGTGTTTTCTTTTGAATATGTCATTATACAGTCTTAAAACACCATCCACTTCATCAAATTACAAATCAATGAAAAAGTCTTTTATAATTCAATAATAATTTAAGAAACATCGGAATTCATTTATTATGAATATACATTTTTTGATAATTCAAACGTGATTCCATCGATATCTGGCCACTGTATAGTCTTAAAAACAAATAACAAGAGTAGTGTTAACACAAAATGTATGAGCTAAAATGATGAAATATAAAAATGCTAAGGTGGACTGTCTACATTTCTGAGACACATCAATTTAACCATCCAAAAACATTTAGCTCGAATGTGTCAGTTTTGCAAATGATCAGTTATTAGTTAGAGTAACCTGAGTTACAGTCACTTTTATAGATAATTAGTTGATAAATGACGTTAGAATACACCTTTAATCGTAATATGGTTTAAAACTATAAGGCATTTGTTGCGTGCATTGTATTACGGCATTTAATAATAGGCAAAAAGACAGTAAATGTTATTCTATACGATTGTTATATGTCAAATGTAAATTAACTTCTTAATTTTTAACTTTGTTTAGGATCCTAAACCAGATGATTTATATATGATTTGCTTTACCAGTGGAAGCACAGGTAGTTTCATAATTACTTTCTCGTTTTATTTCATTTTGTTATGATTTATTAAGTTTCTTGTAGTTTTTATGGACAGACAATTTTCTGTTCATCTATGAAAATCGTTCTTGAAACAAAATACTGACTTCCATTCTTGTTTGCTCGAGATAATCAAAAATTATTTAGCCGTTTTGCAACGATCTAGTGATTGAATCGCTAGGATAGGTTGGAACTTTATTACTCCCGATAAACGGACCCTGACCAGTTAGCTTTTGCCGAAAATAGGATGACTCTGGAGCTGTATGAAGTAATTTAGTTTCACAAACTATGTCGAATGTAAAGTTTGTGGTTAGTTAGTTCTTTTGGTTCTTGATGTCTGATAAATATCCCCTGATCTCTGATTTCTCATACATTATGTGTAGGTTTACCAAAAGGTGTGATGATCGAACAACAACAAATTGTCGATGCAGTCTTTGGAATCATTGAAAATACTGAAGAGAAGGTTAGTGAATTGATTGTACATTTTCGGTTATTCTATTACGTTATCGATTGTTTATTCTCAGAACAATTATTTACAGTGACTGACTTTAATCTTGGCAATCACGTCTAACCACATGACCTCATAATTCCTTTTTACTCACATCAATGTTAGGGATTATGACTGACTGATTTATTGTTACAGCGTGAAATTCACTAATTTTAACCAGGCTCGTGTGCTTTTTGCCAATGAATAATCCGTTCTTCCACACTTATAATTTTTTGATAGTGGAACAAATACTATTGATTGTATGGGTTGTTTTATAGAGCAAAACTTTTAATTCAAGGCATCTGTGGATGAAAAAGGTATATTGTCGCGCCATACATACATATGTTTGCGGTATTCTGTTTTGTTATATGTATATTATATCTGCATTCATTCAAGATAATTTTTGCATTCCTTACGTGTAAAACATTTTTGGCACTGGGGTGAAGATTTAAGTTAAAAGAAAAAAGTCGCCGAATTGACATGAGTTATTTTTCGGTAACAACGTTTACTATTCAATCTAATTATTATTAGGATTTCAGCTCAATCATCCTCGCAAATAACAGTCTGTCTACTGGAGCCAATGTAAGCTGTCTAAATGAGTATTAATTTTAGTGTAAGTCATTTGTCAGTTATAGATATATGTATTCAGACCAAATTTGTATGTGAAAAATAATGATTATTGATTGTCTTAATTGGGAAAGATGGATCAATGTTTGCCACATTCCGGAATTAACAGGATGTATATCGAATGCTTACTGTACAACTGGTTATGGGCAGTCAATCAGTCAGCTACAACTCAAGACCAGGAAAATACATGCATTGATCCAAGGTATCATATCTCATTAGCACAACAAGATGAACGCCAAATTCATAGAAGCAGTCATTTCAATGGTAGTAAAGAATTTCATGTAAGTATATGATACAAGGATAAAGAATTAGTTCGCAGAAAGAAAGGTGTATAGTAATTATAATCTCACGGTTTAAGGGAAGACAAAGAGTATATACACCTACTTCATTGTGATCGATTCTGAGCCATGTCATCCAGAGTCCTCACACACTCGTTACGATAGTTGTGCGGCCCCCAACCAAGTAGTCTGTATCTACCAACATGGCTCAGACCAGAAGTTAGTTATAGTCAATAAGACGTGAGAAATCAAAATTTCAACCTCTTCATAACACCCCACTTGATAAGAAGAAAGTGTCACCGTACTGTAATGAAAGATTTTAATAGTTGTCATGGTTTTACGTCGCTTTAAAAAAAAATTAAAAATAGGCATATTATTATTCCGAATCGCGATGTTTTCGTTCGAATTGTAGTGATGTTTTTTGTATGGAATTCACTGTATTTTCATTTACTTTCATTTTTGTTTCTTTAGTGCTGTAATAAATTATCAACGCATCTTTCATATTTGCCATTTGCTCATATCATGGAGCAAGTAAACTCTGTGAGTTTATCATAACTTGTATGTTCTTGAATGTGGATTACTTATGCTTGCAAAACAATGTTCATTATGAGTTTTATTGTATGCCTTATTTTTTATACACAAACCGATTTAAGTATCAAAAGTTGCTTAGACAATCAAGATAAATTCGCGACAGTTGCGGTGTAAAATGCGCCTATGTATCTATTTGAGTATTTGTGTCGACCATTCCCCTTATTGTTTGCTTGATTAGGGTTGGTATCAAAACATCCTTCAGATTCAGATCGGGCTCAAAACCCGTCTTATTAAAATTCTATAACATCTTTATTTTCTTAAGCAAAGATTTTTACGTCCAGTCATATCTCTGTTTATAATTATAAGCAATATCGAGTACAGTATATAGTATTCATAGATCACTGAGTATTTACTCATGCCTATGATTTATCCAGTTTATACTTTCTTACTAGATTTAATTTTATTTCTTTTTCGAGTATGCTTTTCCCATATATATTTTTCGTTTCTGGCCTATACAAAATTTAAAGTATTTCCGTGACTTCATGAGCATTCGTTAGTTTTTCTGAAGTATCAACGGTATTGAATAGAGAATTTATGATGGAGGGGAAGGGGTTAGTATGACCTAAATTTTCATTCTTTGTTTCTGAAGTGGGGTATTGTGTGATCTCAGTGAATAGTACATGTGCTTCTGATTGTTTTTGTAATTTAGGGTTACGTCCGTGCGAATCTAGTTTTCCGTAAACTCTTGCCATCTATTTACTTGTGTTTAGGCTTTTAAAAATTGGAGTATATTCCGGTAAAACTTTATTATCTGATCTGTCTTGTTTCACAGTTAGGATAATGAGATTTTGGTATACTATACCGTAGTTACTTTTCCAGCTCACTCTCCTTAACGATAACAAATCTTATTATGATTACCAGCAGATTGGAGACGCAACTATCCATCCTATTGATTCAGCTCTACCATTCGATGAAAAATATACGAGACCTAACATATTGTGGTGTTCAGAATAATATTCATTGTTTTTGTGTAGCTCGGATATGGTGTATATGACCGATTTTCTAAATATTATGTTCTACTACTTATAAATGATTTTATCACATTCTTAAAATTTTTTCCAACGACTTAGCAAGTGACGTAATTCTGTTCAAATTGTACTTTATAGTCTGCGGAAAGCAATACTATAACCTCGACTTTCCATGGCATTAAGTAGTTTTGACCTGGTCTTCCTTTGATAATTTTATTAAGAGCTCTATTGGTCTGAACATTTATTTTTCGTATTTGGGTACTCCATTGTTGCTGAACACTACTTTTGAGTAAAGACATGGTTTTCTCAAAGTGATCTTTGTTTCTAACCCCTGTTTTGCAACTGCTATAGCGAACTCAGAATAGGTATATTTTATTTCTCGTTCAAATTTAATATTTCTGTGAACTAATGTCACAGCTTGATATGTTTTATTTATGAATTTCAATTCTTCTGTAATAATAATCACTTATATTAGTGAGGAATATTCAATAACTCGTGCGATAGCGATCGGTTCGCCCAAATTTACATCCGTTTCTTAACTTATCATAAATCATCATTCTAACATCGTTGATTCCGTGATTTCACTAAGTAAAATGACCATATAGAAGGTATAGTTGGTCCCATATGCCCAGTATTACATATGAACTTCAGAAATCTCTTAACAACTATGATATGGGTTAGACAGACGAGAAACCCAGAATTCATAAACACGGTTGGACATAAACCTTCAGATTCTAATAGAGTAAACCATGCATAGGATTGCACTTGACTCCCCTTTTCCTGGTAGCAAACGTTTGACGTCAAGACTCGGGATTAAAACTTTTTGGATGAACAACTGCTTAGTTTGGGCACCTCAAGGAAATCAAAACCACGAAAACATGGATTAAAAAGAAAATGTAAAACAAACCATATGCATATAATTATTGATGATTTTGCTCCAAATGCCTCTTTATTCCAAAGTAGCTTGTTTATCTATTGTTTCTGTTCAGTTTGTAATACTAATGCTGGATCCTGTGTTGAACAATTTACTAACAAAAATATATTGGAGATTACTCATGTAATCACATTCACAGAGTTTAATTATGAATTGTACAATATTTGACATAATTGATCTTGTTGTAGTCACGTTTGTCTAAAAGTATAATTCATCTTTTATATGCTTAATTAATGTTTTATAGTCTGTTGTCATTCTCGAAGGAGCTAAAATTGGATTCTTGACAAGTACTGTTGATGGACTACTTGCTGATTGTGAAAGTCTAAAGCCAACTGTATTAACTGCTGTTCCACGTGTTTTATCCCGTATTTATACCAAGTATTATGAAGCCATTGAAGGATCAACTCTAAAAACTCGTTTGGTTAATCATGTAATAAAGCAAAAGCTTGGTGAACAAAAACGGTAAATACTCTCTTGTCATAAATTGTGCGGCGGTTAAAAAATTATTAGTTGATATTAGTTCATGTTGCATAGTCGATATTATTGTGATAGTGAAAAAGTTTTCTATGATGCAAACCCACGCCAAAAGTTAGTCGAATTCCAATATGGTCGACTTTTAGAGAATACAAGCCATATTAGCCGTCACTAACCTGAACCCAGACATTGAGTCTAATGGCACATTTGATGTTAAACATGGGTATGACTTTGGACACTTCTGTTTCAAAACCTATGTAATGTACATATCAGTTGTTAGTAGATTTTTCACCGTATCACAACCAACTTTCTCATCATTATGTATTTACAAAAGCCTTCTAATCCTACGGATTTTTGTATTTGGTGAAACATTATCTATCTGTTAATTGAAACAACAGTTTAAATATTCCCAACGCTTAATATATCCATATCTAATAACTGTATCCTAAAATTTATATCCTTACGTACTGAGATATTTTGAGTATGTATTTGCTTAAAAGTTCTTCGTTTACATCTTTGGTTTGTACTTTCAACAAGTATGACTTGAAGCCTTGTAGACGAATCTACAATCTTTTTTTATTCTTTTGAGTTTTTTATCCTGGAGTTAGCACTAAGTAAATTCATGAGATGCTAGTGACGTTTGGGAGTCATATGAAAAGTGGATAGTTATTGAATAGATTCAGGTTCAAAAGAAGCCATTCTATGTAAGACACATACTTGTATCGCATTCAGTACAAAATAATATTGTCTTCAACGTTAATATCACTGGTTCAACTGATTACTCATATTGAAGTTTATCGCCACTGGTGAATATCAGTTGTCTCAACTCTTGATTTAAATGATTTACGAATGAATACTTTCATTGTATCGTGCTAGTAATAGCAAACTTGTTCTATCAGTTTGATGAGTCAACTAGAAGCCTGTGTTCCACGGAATACTTTGCAGTCGGATTGTTAAATACAATTGATTTTCTCATCTACTAGTGATTTTTCATTTGTCTCCGTGGTCCAGTTTCGTATAAGAATTGCTAGCTCAATATTAACAATATTCTTCCATTTCTCTAATTTTCTATAGCTTTTTAAAGTGCAGTAACTTGAACATATTGATTTCTACCTTGATTTTTCTATCTAATAATAGCACTTCAGTGTGGAATTATTTGTGTTGATTATTATCTTGGTGAATAAAAGTGAGATTAAAAGATTCAATTTCTTCTTCATTAGGGGGAAATTTAATCATCAAAGTATTTTGGACACACTTTGCTTTAAAAAACTTCACCAATCTCTTGGTGGACGTATTTGTGGAATAATAACAGGCGGTGCTCCTTTGATGCCCGAAATTACACAGTTTATGCGTGCTGTATTTAATGGACTTGTAAGCCAAAAACTGTATATGTAAATTCGTCCAAACTAGTATTGTTTTGGTATTTTTACATATGAAACAATTAATGTATTCCGAGTCGTGACAGTCTCTGCAAGATATATGTTTTCAAAGCTGCACACGCACTGCAGTCGCAATAACTATTTTCGATGTTCTGCATAATTTGTAGATAATCATTTAATGTAGTCCTTATAAATAATTAACTTCTTCATAGCCAATTTATCTGTTTGATTAATGAATTGGGTCCATTAGACTTCACTTAAATTATTAACACCATAAATGTATTCGATAAGCACTGGTTATTATCAGTAAACAACCCTTGCTTTTTAAAACTAGATATTTTATCGTTGTGCTTGTTATTCTATGAAATCGCATCAGATCAGTAAGGTTGTATGTTAAATAGTATTTTGGTTAGTGTACCACCTGAAGTCGGCAAGTAGAAGTTCTATTACAGGTTTCATTTTTGATAAACGAAAAAAATTTCTTGAAAATGGCTGCAAAAGGCTTACGAAATATGCGGTTTACCACATAATATGCGAAGCTCAGTGTTGTCACAGTTCATAGGCATCAAGATTTGATCAAATACTAATAACAGATTTCCTGATGGATGATGAGCGTCAGGTGATAAAACTTCGACAATTATAAGTTCCAAAGTAAATTTCTAAGTGTAAACGTGTATTTCTTTATTACGTTCAGTTTTAAACCTTTCAACATTTTAGTACTTCAAGTTACTCTCATTATTTATCTCATTTTATCATCTTTTAATAGAAGTAGTAAAGTAGATTGATTCACATATTTGTAGTTATTAAGAGTTTATATAAAAAAATATGGTAACAAACTCTCATTATCAGTCCATTATTTAACTGATAGCATATTTGGACTTATCCAGTATGTTATAAGGAATATATCACGGATTTTTAGTAATTGTCGAAAAAATATTTAACGGTGACAGTGCATTCATTTTAGTAGGTTTAAATGGTAGATGAAACCATATTTAAGTATCGTTGCATAAATAAAATTCACTAAATTTAACAAATATTAACCGAATTGTCATTTAGTATCTCATAGCGCATTTGGCACGTTTTAATTTTTAATTCTTAGTCACTTTTAAACCGGTCTTAAAAATATTTAGGTTGTCGAAGGCTTTGGTTGCACAGAGACTATGGGAGTTGTAACCGTATCTTTAGTCGGAGAATTTCGTGTTGGTGCTTTGGGTGCCGTTGCTTATGGTGTAGAAGTTAAATTGGCCGACGTATTAGATTTAGGTCTTATTGTCAAAAGAGATAATCGAGGAGAGGTGAGCTTTTGCGTCTGTTGATAATTTAATTTCCTTTGTGGTACATTTTTTAATAAAGTAAACTTTCATTAAAAATGTGTCTTTATATAGTTTAGTCATTTTGTATGTGCTGAAGTTTTTCACGATTTTCCATGAAATCCAAAGAAGTGTTACAACTATTTTGAAAACTGACTAAGTGTTTCTTTCAGTCTATGAACGAATAATTATATCCTCTATGTTGATTGGTTCAATTATGAATTGTCGAAATGATGTCATTATATGAAGTTTGAAAATTTATTGACACTCCAACCAACGTCCGTACTGAGATTTATAAATTTTGTACGTTCATTCTGCTTTAATTTCGGAAAACAGAACCATGAATCTTCCTTTTAAGGCAGTAGGATAAAAATTCTTGGTTGAGTGTCTGTGGTTAACATTCATCCTACGTGATCTACAACTTTATTTTGTTAGAATATGGTTATTCTGGCATTTAAATACTACATCCGAATTAAACTATATTTGTAAAATGCAATGATATCTCCTTGATCAACATGTCATCTGTCCCTGTGTTTTGATTGTCTGTTAAAGTGTAACGTTTGTTGTTTTGTATGAGACTATTGTTGTCATTCTCAGTTTTCAGTTATCATTTTCATTTGTTCTTTCTTCCCTAAATTAGAAACATTTACTGATATTTAGTTGATAGGATTGAAATTAGTGTTCATATTGGAGCTTTGATTACAAATGTTACCAGTATGTTTTATATATAAACAAAATTTAGGTTTTTTTTTATAGATATGTGTGAAAGGTAAGCGTTGCACCAAAGGTTACTACAAAGATCCTCAAAGTACAGCGCTGCTAATTGACTCAGACGGTTGGTTACATACTGGAGATATAGGAGAATGGACCCCAGTAAGGATATCATTTTTTTTATTCTAGTAGTCATTTTAACTTCTGTATGACGTTTTTTTCTTAGCAAATCTATGAAAATGATCACTTCATGTCATGATTTCTCTTATTGTGACCCAGCTACTCTTATTGCTTAGTAATCTTGGACACCAATTCACTTGACAATTCTCCGAATCAGAACTTGGTTGAACAGGAACGTAATTATATTCCAAATAAAAAGGTTGGATGGAAGTAAGAGTCACAATCAGACAAAAGTTAGTATATTTGTAATTTTTACGTAAGAAGATTATAATCTTCTGCAAGTATCCACTAGCGCTGATTGGTAAAAAATAACCTATCTATATATCGCTAACACTCCGACAAATCAGATTTAGTAAAAATTCAGATGTATTCATCTTCATTTCAATTTATTCACCACTACTGAACGTCTACATGTCATTAACATTTAATTGGACGGCCGATTCGTTATTCGACAACTAAAGCTGACAAATAGATTACCTTTTGTGTTTGATCTTCACAAATCGATTAAATCATTGAAAACTAATAAGATATAGGGCAGCTAGTCCATTCTAATATTGAACTCCTTAGCAGTGCAAATCTAATGATCACGTGAGAAGTTTACTCTAGAAAGCTGGGTCATTAGGGAATCACCAAGCATTTAAACGACTGGATTACAGTTAAGTGGTTTAACACCACTATTCGTTGCTTTACAAAAAGTGTTAATTAGTTCACAATATGATACTGTTTTTCTTGGAATCAATTGTTAATATGGTAATGCCAAAAATATCTAGCGACAAATATTTAAGTTTTTTAAAATTGTAGGCTAACAGAGTGTACTTTTGTAATGAATGAATATAATCTTATTAAATATCAGTTTGTTTAAGTAACAGTTATAAATAACAATATATATCTGGTTTGTCTCGCGAAGTTGTGTTTATATGCACGAGGTTGTTTCGTGATGGTTACTGTGATGAATTACGTTTAGTAGTTGCTTATTCTAGAGCAGCTAATTTTACAGTAAATGTAAAATTTATCTGAATGCAATCATCAATGAAGATTTTCTAAATTTTACTACTTGTGAAAATGGTTTTAGTAGTACTTGGATGTTACGTGATTTTGGTGTACTATTGATCAAATTAATTTCCATTTCGAAACTATAGCGAATTCGGTGAAACGATAATTTACGGACGAACCAATCAGACTTTAGATAAATGATCTTGGATTTTGGTTCGATATTCATTCACCCATTTGTCTAAATAGCGTTTTAGCATTATAGCTGATGTCAGTCAGTGATGAAAACCATAAATCTAATTCCTAACCCTAGCGATCATTTGTAAATCATAATCCTTATTCTTCATACTGCTTCATAATCTTCATTTAGCCCTTTTAAGTAGGTGGACATTCTTAAGGTCACTTTAACTTCGCTCAAAGGTCGTCCATAAATTATAGTCTCACCGCGATTTCTTCTGACGGAGTGTTCTAGAATCAGTCAATACTCTCGGAAAATTTTATTATATACATAATAAAATGTTTACTTGAGTTCGAATAATAGTAGATAATAATATGATGAAATAGGAATAGAACTTTTACTGTAGAATCTGATTGAATGACATTTTATTGTTCACCATTACTTCCTAACTTATCACATTAAATCATTGTAATTCTAATTTTAGAGATACGAATCTCCTGAAAGTTGACAAACCGATATTTCACTGTTTTCGTTACTAATTTGGATATTAAATAAACCTGTGAATGGCCTGAAAATTAGTTGAAACATTTTCTCAAATTCCTCATCGTCCCAAGAGCTGATCTGTTTTCCTTAATAATTTTTTATCTTCGTTTTGACGTTATTATCTTACAATAAAGCAGTGGTAAAAATCTTAGGCTGGTTATTACTATGGTAGTGTTTATTACTTTGATCTCTTATAGTGAACTACACCTGGAGTCTCTGATTATTCATGTGATATACCAGTTAATAATGAAGTATAGTTAATTTTATGTCATAATGTACGTAAACTTATTTCTCATTTAAAGATTTTCATATCGTGTGAATAAATAAAATCGTCTTACAACTTTCATTGTCAAAATTTTATAATTAACTTTTTTACTATAAATCATTTCATTGGTTCATAAATGTTTTTCCATATGTTTACAGTGTCGTCAAATGACAACTTAGACCACATAAATGTGTAATTTGCTTCATGACACATTCGACCGTGGTCACTAACAGTTTTTGTAATCGTAATCAAAATATGTTGCTAATGATATTATGAATTTCATGTAGTGTTTCATATTTTATAAACTCTAGGAAGGTTCATTGATGTTGGTTGATCGTGTTAAAAGTATTTTCAAGTTGGCTCAAGGTGAATATGTAGCACCAGAAAAACTGGAGGCACTTTATCAAAGTTGTAGTCTAATTAATCAAATTTTTATTGATGCCAATCCTAAATCCATTTACCCTGTAGCTATAATAGTTCCAAACTTCAACGAATTACGTGAATCACTTAGCAAAACAGATCATGAATTGGTTAATTTATCCGATCATGATTTATGTCAACATGAATCTGTCCATCGAAAATATCTAAATGTTTTGGATCAAATCGCCAATGAAAGATTTCTGAAAGGATTTGAAAAAGTAAGTTGTTTCTGTTAGATTATATAAAGTGTTATTCCGATCAGCATCAATAATAGTAGAATACGGGCCATTTCTCAAATCTGAAATTGAATACAGTAGAAAACGTTCGTTATCTTAGATCTAGCATCACTGTAATCAGTAAATCCAGATAAAATTTATATGACATGAACGCGCGAACTTCTTAGATTTTTTTATTTTCCCATCAATTTTTGTATGTTAAAAGTGATGATAAAGTCGCTGTCAAGAAAAGTGTCAAAAATTACAGAATTTATTTAGTTTAACAAGAGCGCTAATATATGCCCTTAGAAAAAAAGACGATGTTAAGGGCACATACATTTATTCATCTTTAGGCTAGAAATGGGCGAATGACGGGACAGTTAAACAACTTAGTTGAAAAGTCAATGAAGAAGCTAGTGAAAATCAACATAGCATTGCGCATAGTCTTTTGGTCTACGTCATAGTAGTTATAAAATACATCAGTCATTCAAACGAAACACAGTAATTTATACCAATGGATAATAATTGAGCTGTTCAAGCAATTTAGTGTTGTTTAGTCGTTCTACTTTCCTTATCATGTTAGAATCTTAGTTACACATTAAAAACAATCAGATATATCTATTAGTTACATATATCTTTGGCCTTAAATTGAAGAGTGTGTTATACTAAATACATAATCATATTATAACTTTAGGTGATCATTGTTTTAACATAGTTTACTACCAAATCTTACAAGCCTATATTGATTTTGTGCCGAAAAAAACATGATTTTAGTTGAAGAAGATCCATCTGACTGATGAAACTTTCACAATAGAAAATGGGTTGCTCACTCCAACATTCAAGATTTCCCGATATAGAGCCAGAAAGCTGTATTCTGAAATTATAAACAGATTATGTGACGAAGTTATGGCTACAGAAAATCATAAATAGGATGAGAATTAAAAACTGTTATACTTGACACGAACGTTATTATATTCATCATATGTTTCTTGTATAACTTCATAACTTTTTTATATGTGATTATTTTCAGAATATCCAGTTATATCATTATTTTTTCTTGCGTTCTGGTTTTTATGATGGTCTCTGTTCTGTTTGTTTATTTATTTCTGTTCGGTATTCACATAACTAATAATTCTAGACAATGGTGATGATGGCATAAACTGACATTAAATTTGCTGACTTCTGGAATTCTTTTGCTCAAATAATATTATTTCTCTGATTTTTTCGAAGTATTTTTATTTACTTTCTTTCTATTATAGACTTGTATGAAAGAAACGATTTTTCGTATTCCCTTTTATCTAATTTCATTATTTGCAAACATGTTGTCCAATGTTATCCCCCACCTAAAGTTGTTTATTATTTATATTTTATCTGAAGATATAACTGTAAGCTGAGAAAACTCGACATTTCTCAATTGCTTAAATTCCCCTTAGTTGAGTATCAACTTTGGAAACTCATATTGTCGTAAACAAAGACTCCTATTTGGGAGGAACATCTCATTGTTTAATGCAAAATTACAGAGTTCTTTGATAGAATATGAAAATCATACATTAAATACTACATTTGCATGTCTTTCTTCACTTGTCTCTTGCAAATTCCATCATTTCTATTGTTATTACGATTACTCTTTTTCATTCGTGTTTTCTATTTTATCTTTTCTACCTTCTGCTGACAGGCATTCCACTTCTGATTGATGTTACATACTACTTATGTACATCGATAAGTAGCATACACCACTATATAAGTAGTAAGCATGAAGGGATTCTTTGGAAATTAGTCTGTAAGTCACATTCTTTATGGGTTGATCTCAGTTGGAGTGCCAATGGAAGCCAGGGAGAACTGGATTGTTTCTCCTTTCTGTTTTGTGACTCCTCATCAGTTAACATCCATGACTCTCACTCTTCAGGATCTTCTGAGAAGTCTTAAGGTGCTCTCTTCGATCCTTGGTACAACTACCAACTGCTGAAAACGACAATACTAAGAGGGAATATCTATCCAGTTCTCACAAATGAGATCAACCCATAATGAACATCATGTGCAAAAATAATAAAAATGGACAAGCTTCTTTGATGGATTCATTCATTCTTTAAGTGATAAGTTTAGCTCTTTAATATCCTTTTTTCTTGTATCGCTTGTCAGTAAATTTCAAACTAGTGGTAATAGAAGAGTTCTCTGGACATATCAGGATATGCAGTTTTGTGAAAGTAATTATCATCGCACTATCAGTACCTAAAAAGCCTTTTTGTTTAGAACACATAACTTATCCTAGCAGCATACAAATTAACGATATCTAAATAGTAATGTCTATCAAACAGAAAGTGCTTAGCTAGCCTGAAGAATATGGCTAATTATCTGCGGTATCAAAAACAATGTAGCGAGTAATATGAGACTGAAATGCAAATGATCATTATGAATTATAAATGTATGAAATAAATAATAAAATGCGAACTCGTTTCAGTCACTTTTGAACCATAATATTACCCATGCTTATTTCTCTTGATTCCAATTAGAAACTTAAGGACACCAGGTCAGCTACTTTAGACTTTCCACATGATTTGAATTAGCAACCACAATTCTCCTGGATTGTTTACTTTTAATATTAACTTAGACAAACACTGAATTTTGTAGTTAATATTCTGTAAGCATCTCAGTTCCGGAAAGTTTCTTTAACACTTCTAGTCTATTCATCAAATTAAATCAAATACGAATTGACGATTCGAATTGATTTACATAAAAAATTTGCAAACATCATCCTTTGTTCCTAATTTTTTTCAAAGGTGAGATAATTCTGTTTGTTTAGTTGCAATAATTAATGTTGACGACTTTTGTCAGACACATTTATATTTAGGGTTCATGTGGGGAATACATATTAAGTTCCCATTCAATCCTACTGACGGACCAGTTGATATATTCTGTTTAAATAAAGCCCAGTGAAAAACGTCATCTTCTGACATTTATTAATTTTAAATTTTGTGGTTGACTCCAAAACTTTGATTCATGACTTGTATAATGCAGTTATCTGATAAGATACTATTTCAAAAATGAATGGTATGTTTGTTCAACAAAATTATTATCAACTATATTCTTGCCACTACATTAAAAAAACTAGAGTTGCCTTCAGTTTTAAACGGTATGCAAAACATTCTGCGATTAGTATCTGCATGATGAATTGAAAGCTCCAGTCCGATCACACAAATTAGATAAACTATCAACAACTTCACTAATTCGTTTCATTTTCAGCGGTTCATTTCTAGGCAATTGGTTTAACTCTCATCTGATTTTGCAACTTTCATGCAAGGTAACACATTTGGTAATCAATGGTAGCTTATAATTACATTATGCAATATATATTTTTAATAAAAATTTTCACTCAATCTCACAGTTCTCATTTGATCGTCGTAAAATATTCCAAGCTTTCTGGATTTACATTTCTGATCATACAAGAGTGGATTTCGCTTGAATTTTCCAACTCATGCATACAGAATAAACACGAGTTTAAAGATATTTTTCACGGGTTCCTGAAATCTGTAATATTCGAAATTAGCTTAACAACATTATTAAGATATCATCTTTACACTAAAATCCATATTTGTATGAGAAACTCATTTTCATATTTATAAAGTTTACATGAAACAAATTAAATAGAATGCACTCTGACTAAATATACAATATACAATATACATATATATATATATATATATATATATATATATATATATATATATATATATATATATATATATATATATATATATATATATATATATATATATAATCAGAATGGGGGTTTCCGGAGATTATAGTAATTTTAATAGTTGAATTCAGCGATCTAAAGGTTAAGCTTTCGCTCGCGAGACCGAAGGTACTGGATTCAATTCTCGCGTGCGGAGTTGTGGATGAGCAGTTCTGGGGAGTCCCTTGCTAGGACGAAACGACCGTCCAGTGCTTCTAGGTTTTTAGTGGTGGTTTAGCTTAAATCGACTCATGAATTCAACTATATATATATATATATATATATATATATATATATAATGATCGGTAGTTTTTTGACCAGTTGTTTAACATTATCTAGATGTTTAATTATTTACTTGATATTAGTGTCGATTATGCTTTTTGTTAGGAAGCGAATCGGTTTAGCTTTGGTGCATGTATAATGTGTAAAGTTTCTCATATTTTCACATCAAATAATAGAAATAACGAATTTATTACAATATTATACATTTCCACCGCTCTGAGACTGTAAAATTAAGAATAATTAGCAATAGTAGTAGAAGGCGTAATAATATTGGAGTGAACAGAACACAGGTGGGGACAATCGAATGTGTTTGACACAAACTTACAGGACTTATTAATAAAATCTAACAATCAAATAGTAAATACGTAATTTGCAAAATGTCCATCAATTGTCTCATAATGACTCAGACTTTATTGTCATACAAATTGCATCTTGTTTCCATTCTTTACTGTTCGGTCCTCTTGTCTCTCTGCTACCAGACCTTCTGTTCACGACTAATATCATCTACTAATTATGTCAATATAAGAAGCGCAAACCACAATATTAGTTACAAACGAATTCTTGGCCACATTGACGTGCATAAAAAATTTAACTACGAAGTTAAAAATTATTTGTTGATGAAAAATCTTGATTATACAATTACTTCAATAAAGTTATATTGACTTTTCTTCTCTCTTTTGCACACTGTTTAAATTGAAACAACTTTATGACTACTGATCTTCAAAATGAATATCAGGCTTCAAATCTAGTCAGTCTTAAAGTTTTAAAAACGATCATTTATATGGAATATAAATGGTCCAACACAACGCTAAAATCTCTGCTTTACTCAACTCTACCTATATCACTATTTATTTTCGATAAATACATCTAAATAAAGAATAGTTGAATGATTTATATGGTTAAGATTACTTATACGAGCTTTGATTTCACTTTGTAGCTGTTCATAGCAAATAATAAAGAAAAAACAAACATGATTACACTTTCTATCTGACAACAAGGTCGTTTAAATTTATCATATTCATTATTAAATACCATTCTACTTTTCACAATCACTGAAACACGAATCTGACAATTTGAATGTAATTACATCACTGTCTGATTTCCAGCATTTTTATTCAGATCACATATAATTAGATTGTTCAAACTGATCTATTTATGGATAAATTAATATTCGATTATAAGTAGATACAAATAATACATATATAGGTATTATTATTAAAATAAGTGATAAACTTTTTCTTGGTTGAAAACGTACTATTTTAAAAGTTTCGCTTCGTAAATTTACATTGTATTATATGGAAAATCTTTTAAAGATAGATTTAAATAAACCCCACGACGTCATGTTAATCTAAATTTTTACTTCCAAAAATAACATACCATATTATACTCTGAACTTTTTGATAAAGATTTAGATGCACTGATTAGCAACTTGTGAATATTTTACCATCCATATATTGACCGAAAAATATTTAAACCATATAGTCAAATGTTGAGTTTAAACTTTGTATCTCTTCTTATTTGTACAACACAGCAAACTATTTAGCAATCTTGAGAATAGGAAGTCTGAGTGTGTGTTTTTTAAACAAAAATAAGAGTAATAAAATAATAGTTTTTACTAGTAATTGTATCACTAATTCTTTTACAAAAATACACATAAGAAAACTTTAACAAAATGTTATTTATTCTACGATGTCGTGTAGTCATCACTCAGTCAGTCAGTAACAACGTAGAACTTCGTACGTACGTACATCAGTTCGAGTTACCACACCACATTAGCACAGAGATGCAGTTGTCGATTCAAATCCCGTAGTGGTAGAGGTAATAAGAGTATAAGCAGTAATCGGGAAGATTAGTGTTTGGAGATGTTACTTAAAGACTATAATACAGTGAAATAAATTTGGGAAGAGAGAAAAAA